GCAACCTCCAACTCCTGGGCTCAAGCGAGTCTCCTGACTCCGCCTCCCAAGTAGCTGGGACCACAGGCGCCCGCCACAACGCCCGGCTATTTTTTGGTTGTAGCCATCGTTGTTTGGCAGGTCTCGGCTGGATTTGAACCTGCCACCTTAGGTGTATGTGGCTGGCACCCTAGCCACTTGAGCCACAGGCGCCGAGCCAATCTTGCAAGTTTTAAACACTGTTTTTAGGGTCTGTTTTAATGACTGCATAATATTCTAATGTACTAATACTAATTTATACAGCCTTTTCTGTTTTTGTTACTGTGCAAGTCATTGGTTGTATATCTCATTGTATCTGATCTAGTTGTTTAGGATAGTACTTTTCAAACACGAATGTAGGTGTGAATCACCTGGGAGTACTGCTAACACACATTGTGATTCACTATTTGTTTGGATGGGACTTGTGAGTCTGCATTTTCTAGCAAGCTCCTGGGAATTGCTGATATTGTGGGTCTATGGATCAGCTTCAGATTTTATGTATATAAGTAGTTGGAAGGTTATTTTCTTAATATTACTTTGTAATGAATTCTGGTAGTATAACCTGTTTCATTTTTATTAAAGTTTTGAGGCCTGTATAGATAAGTTTGTTTTTTCCAAACTTGATAAACATTTTTAAACAAATTCTTTCCTGGTTTCTGAATATTTGTTCAGACACTATATTCCTTCACTTTTTGTCTATTTAGTTTGTGCTATTTCTATTTAACGTTTTTTTTAAGAAACAGGGTCTCTGTCACAGAGCGTAGTAGTGTGATCATAGCTCACTGCATCCTTAAATTCCTGGGCTTTCAAGTGACCCTTCTGTCTCAACCTCCTGAGTAGCTGAGATAACAGGCCCAGCTGACATCCTTTTGAAAAAAAAACTATTATATTTTTAAAATTTGTCATTTTTTGTAGATTTTAGTCAGTGTAATATTTTTATGATTTTTAATTTTCTTCCTTCATACCACTTTTAAAATTTTGATTGTTTATGTTTTCACTGATTTTTTCAGTATCACATGCTTCACCATTAAGTTAAAGCACCTTTCCTTTGTTCCCAACAGGAAACCATCGTGGGGTTTGCCCATAGATGCTGTTCAATGGGATATCTGCAATCTGCCCTTAAGAACAGGCTCAGTGGATATTATTGTAACAGAT